TTTCTATTTAAAAGTACATTTACTTCGAAAGAATATGAAGATAATAGAAACTGTAAAAAAAAACGCTTTTTTCTGTTTATAGTAAAGTATCTCGACAGTTTAATGAATATAATATTCATTTTTAGTTTGTTTAGCCTCATCAATACAGCAAGATTATATATGTTTATTATAAAAGAACTGTTAAAAATGAATAAAAACTTAGGAAAATAAGTTGTTAGTATTTTTGTTAGAGTAATATAAATTATTTTGAAGAACTCTATATAGTTTAAAGTTTTTAATGATTGAATAAATGTTATCGTTGAATATTCGTATCAGTTTATAGATAATGAAATATATGAGAATAAGTTGAAAGTTATTTTTAAAATAAAATATAGTTTCTTGTTTGTATATCTATTTTATCAAAGAAAAGCGATTACAGGTGTACGAACTGTTCAGCAACAGTTTCTTGAGGATGTTCTTCTTTCATTGTATTCTGAGTAATTACTAAAGTTCTTCGGCGCTTACGTGACTTAAAATAATCTTTTATAACTGATCGTTTTAACCAAACGAATAATAATAAGGACAGAATACTAATAACACCAAAAATTAAAAATAAACCAGCCAATGATTCAACTGTCATCGCAGCACCGCTATCGTCTGTCTGAGAACAATCACCACCTTCAAACCATTTTGTTCTTAAAGTATCCAAAACACCTTGTTCTCTTAATGATAAGAGATTTACATCTAATTCTTTTGCATAAATCCAGCCTTTTTGATAAACAATACCAAATGCACTTGCATCAAAGTCAGCTCCAACTAAAGTTAAATTACAATAGACATGAGTAGTTGCATATTCTACAGGACCAACATCCATAATTGATGCATCAATGACTCCACTTAATAATTTATCATACGCTTCTGTGATAGATGTTAACGAATAAAAATTTCGACTACCACTGGATACTTCTTGTAAATAATAATCTTCCATAGCTGAACCGACAAGGATACCAATACGACTAAATGGTATCTTACCATTTTTAATATCATCGATTCCACTAACGACAGTTTGTGATTTTTGTATTGTTAAATCCGATGCTAAGTTAGCTGTATAAGCTGCCAGTAATATTAAACTTAAAATATATAAGCCAATAGTTAATAATCGACCAGCAGCTGTTGTAACATTAAAATCCGGTGCACATGCCATTATGGTGGCCATCGAATACCATGTAGACATTGCACTCGCAGATATAACTGATCGATCTTGTAATGCTTCATTATATGGGCGTTCTATTAAAAAGATTAAAATACTTGCATATATAACAGTACCTAAAATAGTTAACCAAAGAGTACGTGAAAATGGTTTTAAAAATGCCAACCAATCTATATTAACACTAGGTGCTTCTCGTATAATAATACGTAATGAATCATCAAATATTGAAGCTGAAAAATCAACTAATTCTTCTCGTGCGGAGGTAACTGTTACATCAGCTACTACCATATCGTACATTCCATTTGCTATTGCATAAATTAAATCATCGTAGGTATTATTTGATGGAACTAATATAATTTGTGGAATAAAACTCATATTAGCTTGTAACAGGGTAATAAGATCAGGCATATATCCAGTGTATGTTGTTGTTGTATTTCCAGATGAATCATTAGTTTGTGTGACTATTGTAAATGGTGTGACTTCATAAATAGCAATGCGAAATGTGACACCTGAAGCAGATGCACTGTCACCAGGAAGTGTCAAAGTATTTCCAGGCCACAAAATTACACTTGTTGATGTATATAATGTCCAAATCTGTGAATTTGACCATGACATTACTGGTACATATTGAAGATTATTTGAAGCACTCTGAACATTTTTTAAAATAAAATATGTGCCATTAACTCGATTTGTTGTATTAGTACTAAATTGGATAGGGCCTGTTACACCAAGGAATGTATTTGAATTAATTATATTCAATAAATTATCAGTATTGAGAAAAGTTTTATCAAAACAAAATGTATCATTTGTAAATGATATGCATGAGGATGAACTATTAGTGGATACATTTGAACAAAGTTGTACTAATGCTTGAATTAAAGTCCAAGTTGCATCAAATGCAAACAATGCAGTATAATCAACATTTGTACTTCCAGGAAATGATTCAGGTTCATACGTTTGCCAAATCTTATATGCATCATTTAATAATGTTGTATTTATTGATGCATTTATAACATTGCCAACAACAGCTTCCATGGTGAACATTCCAATTAAGTTTGGATACCATTCTGGGTCAAATGAATTTAATTCAATATCTCCACTTAATATCCATGTAAAACTTGGACCAAGTACACCTAAATTAAGTGCACTTTGTAAAATTAAAGTTGTATAATCTGGTTGAGCCCATAAGAGAACTATTCGTGATGGATTGTTAATTAAAAGAGATTTTAAATCACCTCGAATACTAAGTGTTGCAATATTAAACATGATCGTTTCTGTAATCGTTAAATTATAATTATCAAATACATCAGATATTGCTTGTTCAAAGCCTTCTCCAAATGCATCATTTTGATAGATAACTATACATGATGTCCAATTAAATCGAACAAATAACTGACCAATAGCTAATGCAGCTGTATCATCTGCAGGAATGGTACGATAATAAGTAGGATAAGCACTTCGATCAGATAATTCAGGATCAGTTGAAGAATGTGATATAACAGGAATGCCTATTGATGCACCAAAAGGAGCGATAACTAGAGATTCTCTTGAAAGATATGGTCCCACAATACCAACGATGTTTGACTTCGATGTCATCTGACAAGTACTTCGAAGATCATGCATAATATCACCATCAGTTGTTATAGATTGCCATCCAATAAATTCTCCTTCAATTGTTATATTGTATTGTTGAGCAAGTATTGTTGCTGATTTAAACATTGCAAGAGCATGAGTGTACTCTGATAAAGAATCAGATCCATTTGGTGTATTATAAAAAAGACTCAATAATTGTATATTTGATGTATTCAAAGAAGGCCAATTTGTTCTTACATACAAAACATTAAATTGTCCAAGTATATAATACAGCCATAAATATCGAAAAATCGGCAAAGATGCCATTTATTAGGAAATAGAAATCTGAAAATAATAATTGAATCAAATTTGTTCGATGATTCTAAATTCATCATTACTAATAAAAAAATGAACTGAAAAGATATTGGTAATGTTCTCAAAACATTTAAAATAAATCTAACTAATGCATGTCTAGGAGAGTATGATAAAAAACAACTGTAAAATAGACGAATTTTTCTTCGTACAAAAGATTAATACATTTTGAAACGTTTTCGTGGACGAAAAATAATTTTTATATAAGAAAATTTCAATTTTCTTTTGCACTAACTAAACTCAAGGAGTTACATCTTTTTAATGATCGTCATTTGCCAACCATCGCTAATTATACCATGTAAAATATAATCAAAAAAGTATATCTTGTTTTTTATATGATGATGATGATGTACATTAATACTATTTACCTGTGCGCATTCAGTCATTAAGAGATTTTAATTAAAGATATTGCACCTAATTTACGAACATTGATTATAAACCTCTTATAAGATCCTGCCGACTACTTGAAAAATATTCATCAATTCTGATTCTATTTTAAAAAAATGTTGAAACAGAACTTTTTTTAATTGAATTCATTATTCTCTACGTTTGTAATATATATTCTATGCATTTCTACCACTATTTATTTTCATAAAATAGTAAAATATATTATAGATTGACACTTTTTGTATTATTTAATTTACCTGCGTAATTTCCTATCTATCTCATTTATCATTAATAATACATTTATGATAAAGTATGTTCGTACTTTAACAAATTTTTATGAAGAAAATCGATTTTTGTTTACTCAGTACATCCGAATTTCGATGAAAGTAATATTTATACAGAGGATGTCAAAATTATAGGCCTCCTCCTATGTTATATATATAAACTAATATAATATTTGATCAATCTTGTACTGACCAACTTAAATGATTATAACACCAGTTAAGTTGAGCAGGTCTTTGTGTCGGGGTTATTCGAAGTTTCTGTCATGCAATATAAGAAATTGTCAAGTCTTGATGTATGATCAAGAAGAAAAATGCAAGATGAAATAATAGTTTATTTCAACTACGCAAAAGAAGAGAGAACATCAAGAGAAAGGGGTTTAGGACACTTGCTCACCGGACAGTTGCTCGCCGGACAGTTGCGCGCGGACATTTACTCGCCGGACAGTTGCTCGCTAGGACAATTGCTCGCTAGGACATTTGCTCGTATGGACAGTTACTCGTATGGACACTTGCTCGTCGGACAGTTGCTCGCTAGGACATTTGATCGCCAAAAAGTGTTTCGAGTTAAATACATAAATAAGACAAAGATATTATTAAGTGACAAGAAATATTAAGTGAACAAGAAAACAAGAAAACAAAAAAAAATCTACATAGATAATAAACGTCCAATGTGTTTCAGTTGATCCTGAACATTTGGATGTGGATTTTGAACTAAATTGTATAATCGTGTGTTCAATGATTCATTTTGTCGCTTTCGTGGTTGGCGACCAGCCATAGCATTAATAATATCCGAATGTATATTATTCTCTTCTTTAATTAATTTATCCATAAATGTCCACAAGTTTGGATGAGTACATTGAAATGCACAGTTTAGTTTTCTATGCCATGCTTCTATATTATTATTGGTACGATGCATATTATTCTTTACACGTTCCGTCATATTCCAAAAATGAACAGGAAATGTTGCTACACGTCTTGAACGTCCACGAAGTCGCCCAATATAATTATCTTCTATATAATCAAGAACTATTTGATACTCGTCATCAAGATACGTACATAAATGATTAAAACCATTAATAACTTCATTAGGTTCAAGAAATGATAAAGCTAATATCTGGTGAATATTATCTGCAAATGTAAGATCTGTTTCGTAGTTTTTTTTTAAACCATTATTCTAAAAACAAAAGTGTAAAAAAATGTTAAGCTATGTAGAATAGACTTACTTGTAAAAAACGTTGAACACTCTGACTTAGATGAAAAAAACATCCGCTAAGTTCGACTATAGGAAAACGACCAGTAATCATATTCATTGCTGCTTTTTCGAAGTCCATCATCAATCGCTGAGGAGACCATGCTGGAACTAATTTCATTATGTCATTTATCATTTTTGTGTAAATTTTACCACTTTTACCAGGTAAAAGAACAAATAATACTGGAAATATATGATCACGATAAAGAGCATGAATTACGAAGAGTTGAAAAAAAATCTCCGGAACAACTTTAAAAGTTCCATCTATGAAGAAATCCTGTCAACAAAAAAAATTGAATAATTTATTAGTATATCGCAAAAGCTTACCGTGGCATTTTCCATAATGTCTCGTTGTTCATCGGTAAAAAATATTAACATTCGATCAGAATTTGGACCAGTATCATTACGAAGAAATAAGGTATCACGTGTTGTTCGATAATATTTATCCGGAATCACTGGAAAATTAATATCTAATGGTATCGCTGCTGTACTGGTTTCTTCTCGCCATCGACGGACGTTTCTTTTCAGATTATCATTATGTGTTAGTTGGACACGTACTTCATCTCGAACGCCGATATTTGCTTGTGTTAAAATATTATGTGGATTGGTTTGATTTTTTAAAGATTCTTCTCTTAATCGTTCATAATATACTCGAATCAATCCAGAACGTTGATTTCCAACATGATTTTCATGCTTACCAACGGTTTTATCAAAAATACTGTTTAAATCAGTATGTAATCTTCCACGACACTTAAATTTTCTGGAATACTCACATTTCCATAATATCTTCTTCGCGTTGCGTTTATCAATAACATAAGAATATCCATCATGAATGAGTAGAGGAGCGTTTTTCGACGTTTTTGAAAGAGTAACAGACATGATTATTTTTTTTATGTGCTTTTCTGTAACTGATATCACTTTTATACGATTAAAATGATTGGGTATCACTAATCATCTTATAAAAATAATGATCATCAATCGTCTATACATAAAGCTAAATTAATTGTCTTATTTTGTTCTGAATTCTATCAATTACAATTGAACGATTATCACATGTGCGATCAAATGTCCTGGCGAGCAACTGTCCGACGAGCAAGTGTCCATACGAGTAACTGTCCATACGAGCAAATGTCCTAGCGAGCAATTGTCCTAGCGAGCAACTGTCCGGCGAGCAAATGTCCGCGCGCAACTGTCCTGCGAGCAACTGTCCTGCGAGCAACTGTCCTGCGAGCAACTGTCCGTTTCCCAAGAGAAAGGTAGTGAAGATGGACAGATAAATAAACACACTAGGAACGCTCGGATATGTGTGTATGTATATATATATAGTGACGTATTAGAATATTTCATAGAACGAAAGGTAATATAATATAGAGAAGAAAAGGAAAAATAAAATGAATGTATACAAAAGTTTCAATGACAATAGCACTACATCACAGAAACCATATCAAAATCTCGAAGACTAATTGTTGAATTTAAATCTGTATAAGCATATTACACGAGATCAATCAAAAAGATTGTATCATCTCGAAGTTGTTAAAATTAAATCAAACTTTTTTGATGACCAGTTAGTTTTAGTAGGTATTCAGCACCAGGTTTCGTAGCCACCGTATCAAATTGATTGAATTTCGAAATAGTCTAACGAATACAACAACGAAAAATATTTAATTCGCAATAAACTCCATGCGTATATGTGTCGTGTATATATTCATGAACATAACTAACATATGGATTCAACTATTTTTAAGTATTTTTTAAAAATATAATATTAATTATTTCTTTATATATAATATAGAGAGCTCTATAATTCTGATATATTTAATAGTTTTATTGTGAATTCTGTAAGATTAAGTTGTTGAATATGACAAAATGAATTAAAATTATATCCACAGTCAGTTAGAAAAACTTTAAATTCGATGTAAACTAACAAGGAGACTTCTTCAGACATCTTCTTTCGATTTGATTGATTATTAATCGAAAGATATTGTTAGGGTTGTAACAGTATCAATACTCACCAATAACTTAATGCACAACAAGACCAATATATAATATTATATTGATATTTATAGCAATGTTTGCGCTCTTCTTTTGAATCCTTTTCATTTAGGGTATTGCCCTTACTACCTTTTCCATGTTTTATACATCATGCGATTTTTTTGCCCTCATTTTGTTTCGTCAGTATTGTCTATTTCTTTTATACTCTTTCGTTCTCTTGGATAGGCGGGTATATAGGTGTGTGCTTTGCTTGATATCAGTGTAATTTTTGATACGGAGAAATATAATAATGCGCAATACTTCAAATTAGAATGAATCATACGAACAGGACAAACATCGTTACAATACTGTTTCATTCTTAGTGAGCAGGACTATAAACAAACCTGTTAAGCTCGCATAAGACACTTTCGAATAGCATCAGATGTTGATAGTCATAGATTTGAATGTTTCTTTTGACTTATCTATAGTCCTGCTTATCCTTTCAAAGACTCATATATCGTTCTATTCTTAATTCTAACTAAAAATTGATATTCTTCAAAACTCAGAATCGAATATTTAGTAGAATCTAAATTAATGATAAATATAAGAAAATAGCATTATATTATCTATAAGTTAAATAATAACAATAAACTTTTCAATGATAATATTTTGGAAATTCTTTTAATAATAAGTGATTTGATAATATCACAGCCAATATTTCTAGTAGTAACTCAATAAATTCTATTTAAGTATATTAACAAACTATCAATAAAAGCAAAATTAACTTAAATTTCAATGTGCCTACATTTCATATTCTTGATAGAAATTTTTATAGTCGATCTGATCGTTCATAATGCTCACAATTGATCAGTTGACATGATAAATGTCAAACGAAATAAATTTTATTCATGCATAGGATTTAATATAACAATGAAGGATATCAAAAGTATTATAATCACAAAAATAAACAGCAGAAAAACATCTTGTTTTTTTATTATGAAGTCTAATGACTGAATCTACTACAATCATCTTCCTTCTATTATTTTCTCATAACAGAAGCATGTATTTATTGATCCATATCGGCACAAATTAATACCTGGATAATTTGCATGCTTTACTGCTCCTTCACTTCAATGTTTATTGTGTATTATCAACCGAAACGATTCAATGTAAAGAAAAAAAAAGGAAAAGGCACAAGTTAAGGTATAGACGATTAAATCATAGTCGCTCACCTTGCATTGTTAATCAAAAGTATGCATGCATGCATGATTGCTTAGTCTACCTTTCGTAGTCTTTTTCTTATTAGACAAATAAATACGATATTCTTTTCATTTATTTCGATACAATTATTAAATCATTGATTTTAGAAAAATGGCTTCATCTACGACTATTACTAATCCAATCACATTATCATCGAATGATAAAGAAAAATTAGATAAATTAGTGAAAGATTTAAGTAAAATTGAATGGGAAAATGGTGAATATTATTTTCATAATTTTGTTGATTATTATCAATTACCACAAATAATACGTGTTGAACAAACATGGAATACAAATTTGATTAAAAATCAATGGCTGTATTTACAAGCATTATTTGATCGTTATTTAATTATTGCTTCACCATTATCATCATCAAATAAAAGTAAAAGTTCAAAGCAAAAATATCTTATACCAGATTGGTTTCAAGGGGAATGTCGTATTCTATCAAAAAATCCTACACTTAAAAAACGTTGGTGGATATTTCAAGGTACATTTGAATTATATCGATTTGATTTACCACGTGCAATAAAAGTTCTTTCTGATACACCAGCACATATACGAAAAAAAGAGGCATCATCAACACATGAATGGGATAAAATTGTATTACGAAAAAATGCGCGTCTTAATGTTATACGTCGTGAACAATATCAATCACGTATGAAAAATGATAAAGGTGATTTACTTGCTAGTGAACCAAAAGACGCATTTATACTTCAAGATCCATTGAGTGGTCATGAATTTATTTTACCACCTGGTGTACCTTTACGTTTTGCAACATTAATTGAAGATAATGAATTACATTCAGAATATAAAAGTCATAGTGGAACATTTACATTTCCAGAAATTATGATGCGTTATGAATTTCCACTTGATGTAGAAATAACAACACATTTACCAGTTGATTTACCTGAATTTAAATCCCAACTTAGATTAGAAAAATTTTGTGTTGCAAAATCTGTTCTAGCATTCAGTTTTGGTCAAGGTCAATCACAATTAATTGATCTTTCACCATTAACACAATTTACATTACATTGTGCTAAGTATAAATTAAAGCCAAAAATTTGAAAAATATATATTTCTATTGATTATTGTAGATGTTTAACATATGGATTACCACGTGATGAAGACACACCTACTAAACCAACTGGTAAAAAAGATGAAAAATTTGATGAAAAAGAATATCAACGATATGAAGATATAAGAAGTAAAATGAATGCTGTTTTTGATGATGCAGCAGAAATTTTCAAGAGTAAAATTCAGATAGCTACGGATGAAGAGGTATAGAAAATTTATTTAATTTTGATTTGAACTTTTTGCTTTTATTCTATAAATCATAGCTTGATTGTATTGAAACAGTTTTTGAAATAAGCATAAAGATGAAAACTGAAGATGATCAACCGGCTGAAACTACTTATTTAACATTGGATGAAGCAATTAAAGTTGTTAAACAACCTAAAGATGACATTCCATTTCCTAAAGCACAACCAAAACGATTTACTGTTCATGCTAGTGCTGATCCAAGTAAGCAACATTTTTAATTTTAGTTATTTATTTATTTAAATAATATATTTTTATACTTCAGGTAATCCATATAATGAAGTTATTGACTATGAAGATATGGATGCTTTAAATAAAAGTGTCGATGGAAAGGCATATGATGAACGAAAATCTAACGCTGCAAGAAGCCTATCAAGATCAAAAAGAACATCGCGGGATAAACCTCAACAACCAACAAATCAATCTAAAAAACGTCCAGCTCTTGTTGTTCAACAGCTACCACCACCAATGCTTTTACCACCGTAAAAATTTCTATTTCTTATTTAATATAAATGTATATTAATTCAATATTTTTATTTATTATAGTGAAACATTCGAAAAAACTGTTAAAGCCATTCCAGATAAACTCTATACTGATTTTATTCCTGCATCAGCTACTTCAAAGTATGAATATTGATTCTATATCAATAGATTATAATATTTTTTTTTGTCTTCTTTTCAATAGGAAAGCGGATAAACCACCAAAAGCAGACAGACCACCAAAATCGGATAGCAAAGAGAAATCATCAAGAAAAGCTCGCAAATAATTTTGCGACACATCACTTATTACTAAACTAACATTAATTTCATTTTATAGTTTTTTATTACAGAAAAAAAAATGAAAAAAGTTTAAATAAATAGACAATATTTAAAATTGATCATTTGAATTAAGTGTTGCTAAACGACGTGGAACAATACACATTGAAGATTGAGATGATTTAGCTAGAGATTTTAATTTTACATCTCGACGTGGTTCAAGTCGAGGAAGTGATTCAGAAGATTTAAATGGTATTCGAAATCTGGATACCCATGTATTCTATAAAGGTTAAATTAAATTTAGTATTTTTCTATATATAAATTAAAGATACAACTTCATCATAACATAAATCAGTGAATTCATATGAATTAATATCACTGACTATTTCTCTTGTTGATATTTGATTCGAATGAGATTTTGATGTTATTGAATGAACATATGTTATATTAATCTTTTATTATAAAATCATAAATAAAAATAAAAGAAAATAATTTCCTACTTGATTTAATTTAGTTTGTAAGAAAAAATGTTTTTTTCGAAGAATAAACTAAAATAAAAAATTTTATTTTATTCGATTGAATAGATTTATTATAAACTATACTAGAAAAATACAATATGCTAAACATTGGTTACTTATTTGAATTGCTTTAGAAATTGTTACTTGAGGATTTGGTAAAATATTGAGAATATTTAATAAAATCGTAATTGCATTAATTAAAAACCTATTTAAATTATAAGAAAAAGATAAGAAGAAAAATAAATAATTTTTTTACCAAAAAGAAAAAATATAGAAAAAATAAAATTTCTTATTAGAATTTTTAATTGTAAATAAAAGAGATATAATATACCAGATATAAACTAATAAATACAGAATTATTTGAATATAATCACATATAGGAAATATTTTTTCATTAATAAATATTTGATCAACAAACTTAATAAAAGAAAATAAAATACATTGAATATTAATTCAATTTTTATTCACTTACTATGATCATCATAATAAGAATACTGATCTGCACACTTAGATATAATAGAATAATTAATATTATTTCAGTAATAACTCTGTTTCTCAATTGAATTTTTACAATTAAATAACCTTTTGAACAAAGTATTAAAATAAATAGAAATAATATTTCTGCAATTAAAACAACAAAATGAGCAAGAAATATTAATAATCGAAATGTAAATACATCCATATATCCTGTTAAAGCAAACATAAGAGTATCAATAAAACTTATTAAACAATATATCCATGAACATAATATTGAACTACAATATAATTTCATTAGAAAAAAAGATTTATATTTTGATAAATCTAAATAAAAAACAAAAATATTTGAAATTTCTTCTTCATTATAAATTCAGATAAAAAAAAACTTACAAATATATCTAAGAATGATTAATAAAATTATAGTATACATTATTGTACTAGCAATAAATAATTCTAGTAACCCTGTAGAAAAAAAGATTAATTTGTAAAAACTAAAGTGTTTTTATTACCTTGTTCATCATTAGAAAAATGTTTTGTAAATAAATCATTTCCATTTGTTAAAATTAATTTATATGTAAGAAAGAAATTCTATTTGATATTAATAGTTAAAGATAAAGTGAGAAAGAAAATTAAATTTATATATTTACAGTTGTATTAATAGTTGAATTACAAGTACTTAGAATAAAATATATTCGATCAGTAGATGTAAAAGATGATGATAATATCCATAAATTTGTTTCATTTTCAGATTGTTTTAGTATTAATTCTTTTTTTAAACAAACTTTTGATAGATCATTCTTTATTTCGATCCAGTCTTGTTGGTTTAATATAAAAAATTTGAAAATATTATCAAATACCTGAAATCATTCTCTCTTTTTTTCAAAAATAAACTCAAATTTTAACAAAACCCTTACATATAAATTTATATCAATATGTCCATAAATTGGATGAAAATAAAATTTTGTTAAATATAACCAACTCTAAATATTAGTAATAAAAAATATGAAATATTTTTGCTTTTATTTACTTACAATATTTGTATCGATAGAATGAGATATGATTTTACTTGAAATTTTATTTAATAAATAAACTATAATTATGAATAATACCGAGAAAAAGTTCATTGCTTTTTTTTTGTTTAAGTTTTTTTTTAAGGAAAGAAATGATTGATAGACAACATCGGTGCCGATGCATACAACGAGTTTGTTCTCTCGGCATTTTTTCTTTTGTTATATAACGTAAAAGAAGAAAAAAAAGTAAAGAACGAACATATAAAAAGATAAAAATTCTATGATTTTCACGGTATATAGTATACATCCGAAGTTCATTAGTTGACATGCAAATTGTCAATTTAAATATTTCATATTAAAAATATCGATTAACTTTGATATTATGGTGAAGTCAAGATGAGTTATAGATTGATTCATTACTTTTAATCAGATATTGATTAAAGTTACGAATCTTAACTATTAGAATAAAATCATATTTTATTTAGTTATTCATATTTCAATTAATACTCATTTAAAGTATTTATAGTATATTATTATTCAGAAGAAGTAGGACCGATAATGGCTGACACACATTTTCTTGTTATGAAAGAAGAAAACGATTGCTCTATTCTGTGCACCATTAGAGTAAAAGGCAGATAACATATTCGAATATAATCAAGTATTTGTATAAAAAACTTGTAATTATGACAGCGATCAATAGGCTACCCTTACATGGAGTTAAAATTCTAGATTTAACACGTGTTTTAGCCGGTAAGGAATCTGTAGAATTGTTATATTTTATTTTAATGATTAATCGTATGATTTATTAAGGACCTTTTGCTAGCATGGTATTAGCTGATTATGGAGCAGATGTAATTAAAGTTGAAAAACCAGGTAATTAAAGAAAAAATATCTTTGATTTGTTCTATTCATTATACGTGTTAAATGTACACTTTAAAGGACAAGGTGATGATACACGAACATGGGGACCGCCTTATGTTGAAGATCAAAGTGCATATTTCTTAAGTATTAATCGAAATAAACGAAGTATTGCTATCGATATGAGTCGTCAACAAGGTCAAACAATAATTCGTGAAGTATTCATATTTAACTATAGTTTAAAAAAATAAATTAACTATAATGATTATAATAGCTTGCTAAGAAAAGCGATGTTTTAATTGAAAATTATTTACCTGGACAATTAAAAAAATTTGGTTTGGAATATCAAGATCTTCGATCGATTAATGATAGGCTTATTTATTGTTCAATAACAGGTTTTTTGAAAAAAAAAAAAAAAGTTATATTTTTATTAATAGTTAAATATTATATATATATATATATAAGGATATGGAAGTCATGGACCATATTCAAACAGACCAGGTTATGATTTAGTTATTCAAGCATTAGGTGGAATGATGAGTATTACAGGAAGTTCGGTATGATTTATTTTTTTCAAATAATTGTATTATGTTGTCAATATATAAATAAAAAGTGCGTAGGAACCTGTTAAAGTTGGTGTTGCTGTTATTGATTTAGCTACTGGTTTATCAAGTGTTGGAGCTATTACAGCTGCTTTATATCAACGTGAAAAAATTGGAAAAGGAACAAAAATAGAATGTTCATTACTTGAAACTCAAGTAGAAATATATATATGAAGACATTTGTATACTAAAAAGAATATGTTTTGTCTTTGTTAAGCTTTCTCTTCTTTCACATATTGGTGCTAATTATTTAAATGCTGGTTGGGAAGCTCAACGTCATGGTACAGCTCATGCATCTATTGTTCCTTATCAAGCATTTACCTGTCAAGATGGCGAACGAATAGTTGTAGCAGCTGCAAATGATCAATTTTTTAAAGAACTTTGCAAAGTATGTTGACTTATTTTTTTAAAAATAATTAGTATAATTTTCTTCTCTATATGTAGATTATTAATTTACAAGAACTTGTAACGAATGATCTATTTAGAAGTAATAAATTTCGTGTAACAAATCGAGTACAATTGATTTCTATTTTATCAAAAAAGTAAAAGATTATTTTATTTATCGAAATTAATTATTTGAGAATAATTTAGATTTATGGAAAAACCATTAACCGAATGGCTGGCACTGTTTCAAAAGTCAAATAAAGTTCCATATGGTCCTATCAATGATATGAAAGGTGTTTTTGAAAATGAACAAGTTAGTTCATTTTGAAAATAACAACAAAAAATGATTATTTGTAAATAATGCAGGTCACTTTTCAAAAACAAGTTCTTGAAATGAAAAATCCAAATCGAACAAAATCCATTCGTGTTGTTGGTAGTTATAAAATACTTTTCTAATTATTCATAAGTTTGAAAAATACTCTTTCTTAAATTATTAATTTAGGTCCATCAGTAAATTTTGAAAATATCGAAAAATCTTCTATGCTTCGTCATGCTGCACCATTACTTGGTGAACATACTCGATCTATTCTTCAAACTGAACTTAATTATACAAATGAACAACTTGATAAACTTATTCATGAGAAAATTATTCAATAATTTCATTTCGTATTCGTATATCTATTTTTCAAAGTACGAAAAAAAAGAGAGAGAAAAAAAATATCTATATATATATAATAGAAAATCAAACTCGATATAAGTGAATTTTTTCTTCTCGAAGAACCAAAAAAAATGGAGAAAAAGAAACTATACATAATGACATAAGTATGAAAATCAATCTTATACATATTAGTTATCGATGTAAGGTAAGGAAGATATAATAAACAAAGCATTTGGCTTCGTTTTTGTTCTATTTACATATGATATACAAAATCGAAAAAGAAAACACTATCACACAAGACAAAAAAGAAAAAAAAGGAAGAAAACGAAGAATAGTTGTCATTCTTTAGCATTTCGATTCATCATTTTGGTTTTCACTGATATGTTCTAAATCTTCATATTCACCATGTTTATATTTATGTCGTAACTAAATGAGAAATAAATTAATCAGTTATGAATCAAATTAGATATCAAAAAATAGTTTTACTTCATGCATAAATAAACATGATACATTCATATCTAATTGTGCAGCACCTGGTAAACCTTGTATAGGTGTTAATGAACTCATAAATGAATGTGGATCAGTTGTGTCAAACATTTGTGTTTGAATTCTAAAATATTTTAAATATGTATGGTTTTTTTTGTAATATAATTGATTTTACTTTGAAAGAACACCAAATTGTGCTAAACTTCGATAAGGTAAATCAGCTTTTGAAACTCCACCATTTAGAAAACTATTTTGTACTATTGAAGTATTTGGTTGAACTGATACAGTTGTATGTAGTGGAGGATAGAAACTTGTATTAATCAATGTTTTTGATACTGTCGAACGATTATTTACTGAAGTTGTTGCTAAAATAGATTTTTTAAAATAATTTAAAATGTTTTTTTTGTGAAGTAAGATTTACATAGTGGATCACTATAAAAACTTCTGTGAGCTTGAAGATCTTGCATTTCATTCATAGATTGTTGAAGTATTGATGATGCATGCATATTTTCAACAGCTATTCATTATTAAACAAAAAGAAAATAATAATGATATTTTAATAATTCATAAAACAAAAATTCAAACCTCGTTCTTGAATTTTTTCTAAATAAACTTCACATTCTTTAGGCATTTGCCAATTTGGATTTGTATGATGAAAATGCATTAATGATAATTCAAGTTTGCCATCATTAGTTATTCCACCATCAGTACTAACCTCTGATTTTGGACGTATTGGTGCAAACCACTGACGAAAGAGAGAAGAAGAAAAACCAAATAGTTTTCATTGTCAAATATGATATAAAAATATACTTTCAAATCTCCATGTTTTGCTACATCTAATTGAGCAAAACTACAAACATCACCAACACCTTGTACATCAACTGTAAAATTTCGTAAGAAATCTATAATTTGTAAAGATTTACGACGTAATTGGAAGCATAAGATAAGTGGTGTTACAAATGCACTAAGAAGTTCTTCGAGAAAATAAACCTTAAATTTAGAAAAAAAAGACAATATAATTTCATATATGTAGGATTAATAATAAATTAACAACAAGTGCTGTGATTTTCGTCGTTAATCACAACATATAATAAGTTCTACTAGCAAAATAGATATATAGATATACTCTCTTTCTGATAGATTGAAATCTATAGAAAAGATAACATACATATTTCAATTGAAACATTTGTCCAAATTCAGCTTGAACATAATCTGTATGTGCATGATCTTTCCATGAATCTGGTTGATAATGAACTTGTGCAAGAACAAGTTGTAACATTTGTTCAGGATCAAAGACTGCATGCTAGATAGAAATATAAATAGATAATTGAATAATAAATCATGATTTACTTACTTCATCAGGTATTAATGATCGACAAACACCAACAATGACACCAAGACAAGTTATTGTTGTTAGCATATGTTCAACAGTAAGAACATCTTCATCATAAACTGTTAATAAGATTAAAACAGCTAATATAGCACCAGTCGTAAAGCTTATAAATCTAACAAAAAAAATATGTAGAAATTTTCAATAGGAAAAATAAATCTAAGTTTTTTGTTATTTTACTTTGCCAATTCTACAATACTATAGTTAACAAATGAATTCATATAACTAATCGCTGGTTTATAACCACGATTTAAACGTTGATTAAGTGAATGATCAAGTTCATTAAAATGTCGTAAATAAAGTCGTCCATAATTACTCCAACAACGATTACCTAATACACCTGGTTCACGTCTTACAAGCTTTCAGATAAAAAAAAACATAATTAATTTTTTTTTAAATTATTTCATTTCATAAATATTTACTTCGGTGTAACCATAGAATAAATTCAATACTTGCCAAATAAATATAAATGGTGATAAAAGTAAATTCGCTAGACCATAGAGTAATATGAAATTTGATAGTCTAAATATATTCTTCAGTCTACAAAAGATAAATATTTCAATGATGAATTTACTGTTGTGATAATTTTTCACGTTGACTATAGATTTTATATTCTTGTCGTAAATGCCATCGTTGATCAAATGGTGCATATGGACCCCCTAGATAATCACAATAATATTTTCGATAGTTTATAAAAAATTTTAAACATATTAATAATCCAGTATTAATATTATTTCATAATATAAATTAAAAATACTTACAAAATAGTAATAAACGTAGATTAAATTTAAAACCGGTTGTAAATGATATTCTAAAACCATAATGTGTAATTGGAAAAAAATATAAGCTAATAAATAACTTACATATTACCAAAGATTGGTAAATGTATTCTTGGTGGTAAGATTCCTTTATTAACTAAAGCAACTTCATAATTTTTAAAGCGTAATAATCGATTATGAATATCTAATTCAGTTAAATTTGATTTATGTATACATAAATGATGTGTTCGTTGAGCTATTAATAATCGTTGTTGAACTTCATGCCAAGTCATATTTGATAGATCATTCTAAATATAGCGAAATAAATTAATAGTTTTTTTCTTGCTCCTTCTTCTTATTTACCGGTTTAATATCTAATGCTTGAGCATAAAATGCACGAATATTAAAATATGAAAGAAGATTATAGAGAGAACGCGTTAAACGATAAAGCCAATAGATGATTGAAAGTATTATACATAGATTTGTTAATAGATGCATACTAAGTGAAATAAAAATAATTCAATTGAATAACTATGTAATTAAAAATTTACTTATGAAGACATTGTTTAGGTGATTGAATAACTTCATTAAAATGTATTTTATGTGTTATGTTTCTTGCTGACGGTGTTGAACGAAATAGAAGTGGATAATCAATACATTGAACAATTAAAACAGTAAATGATACAATAAATACAAATTGTCTATTAGGAAATATTTCTTAGTTTTTTTTTGTTTTAGAATTTCAATAACTTACACAAGACCAAATATTTCCGAAAGCACTATACAAAAAAATCCATGTCGTTGATGATATTCGTATACACGTACGAAAAATTCATCGAGATCTTTTTGATGACTCCATTTTGATTCTTAAAAATAAATAAATATATATATATAGAAATGTCGTTAACAAAATAATTTTCATACGTTTTTCATTATTATTTTGATCTTCTTGTGTATCAAATTGTATAAATGGTAATAAAGTTGGATCTTGTCCTTCTGGATCATCGTTCTCTTCACCAGCAAGAGCTCGATAATCCATTTTTAAGAACTGTTCTTTATATAAGTTTCTTTTTTTAAATTATCTAAAAGAATATCAAAACTTAACATTAGAGATTATTTCTTTTTATATCTCTATTTTAACAAAAGATAATTAAGTCCGAAATGCTCGTCTTTTAGATCGTTCAGAAACTATTAAATCATCTTTAATTTTTGTAGATTCATCTTCAATAACTTCACCAGTTACCGGAAATAAATCACCGGGTTCAGCATGATGTGATAAACGATGAAGGCCACTGAAAACCAAAAATAATAAAACATTGTTTTTCAAAATAAATAGTAAGATTACATACGTTCCATGTTTATTTTTTGATATAGGTACATTTACATATTGTCCATTTGGACAACAAAGACGAACATGCTGATGATGTTTACGATCAATAATAGGTTCAATAATACGTGGCCATGTTCCATAAATGTCTGAAAATTAAAAAAAGTAGATAAACAAAAAAATTCTTTTTATGTTACCATTTTGATTTCGTTCACTTTTTTTAAGGACAATATAGGACATTTGACCAGTTGTATAATCGGGTATATTCTAAGATAAAAATATAGATTAAAGAATTTAATTGAAAAAATAATATCAAATAAAAGATTTACTCGTTTAACATCAAATATTTGTAATGGTCGATAACGTGTTGATATTCGACATGGAATATTTAATTCTTTTTTTGGACAAACTGACTCATGTGGACACTAAATTTCATCATATAGTGAAAATCTTTCATACACACTAATTACATAGTATGCATATCATTTTATTTACCGGTGAAAAAATATGTCCTGGAGAATTGTGAGTTTTTACTGGTGAATCATCATGTTCTGTTGATGATTCTTCATCATTTATTTCATCGATATTTTCTTTTGTTAATTGATCAGGTACCGCAATACGCTAAAAAGAAATCATTATATTCAATGAGTATATATACATTAGATATCGTCTATACAAAATTTATAGTGCATCTACTGATCTCTTTTCAGTTTCCTTTCCAGCAGATTTATAGTGATAGTGTTTGGTTTTGTCTTCTAGTAAATGGTTATCGTATCAGATTACAAACGTCATTTAATATGTAAGAAGAATTATATAATTCTCCAATATTTTTAGCTAAGAGAAGATGAAGCAATATCGTTTTCTTTTCTTATATAAAGTTAAATTAAACGTATAAATGAAAAAGACAAAAAGGAAAGATATCGATCAGAAAAAAAACTATCAAATTATTATTTACATAATAAGGCACGTGTCTCATGAGAATATATACTACATATCATTACTACTTCACTTCCATACATTATTCTTTTATAATCTTGTTCATTCAATACAAAATTCGTCTCTTATCTAATTATCAGTTTGTTAACTATTGAAGTAGTTCAGAATTTTCATCAATACATACAGATAATAGATTTTCACGTGCTTCATTGATTGCTGAATAACCATGAATAGTACCACGTTCAACTAGAATCTAAAATGACATTATTATAGAACATAAAATCCCTTTTTTTCTCTTTAAATATTTACTAAAAAACCATTAGGTTTAACATTATACCATAATGATCGAAGAACTTTTAAACGTTCAAAACGATTTTCAAATTCAAATAAAGTATGATCAGCAATAACTAAATCAAATACATTCTTAAAAACAAAAACTTTATTCGATATTTTTCAAATATATATATATATATTAAAAGATTTTATATACATACTTCACGTCCATGTGGCATAAATTGTCGGTAGACAACACCATTAACCATCGGTGCTTTATTTTCCTGTCCACCTTGCAGAATTAATTGTGAAAGTTTATTCATTTCACGTGATTTATCAACATTAAGAATTTCAGCAAATGTTTTTTTACCCCAAACATGCATTGCTGCCCTTTACATAATAATTAAAATTAAAACGTAATAAATAATATATTTACCACATTGCAGAACCAGTCCCTGATCCGAAATCTAATAATCGAACAGGTTGAAAATTTCGTTCTCTTTGTTTAATCTAAATAATTTTTCAAAATATATTTCAAATTAAATCTATTCAATTCAACAAACTTCATTCAAAATTTGTACGAGCATTGCATAATGTGAAGCAAAATTAGTTGCTAGATATATTTTCGATTTATATTCATCGAATCTAAAATAAAACAAACTAATAAAATTATTTGATATATAGAATATTACGTTAATGATTGCCAATGATATATTGATGTTTTTAAACGTTTTACTAATTCACGTTGTCGTCCAAGATTTAATTGTTCACGTTGTTCAGGACTCATAGCTAACGTATTTATTGGTGCTAAAAGAAACGAAGATAAAAACAAAAAATTCGAAAATAAAATTTACGTTCAGTCTGCATTAGATTTTGTATAACATTTTGTGCTATTGTTTGTAATTCACGTTGTTCAATTGGTAAACGTCTTTCGGCTAAATGATCTTCAAGTAATTTTATATCAGCTTTCAAACGTTGTGGTTCAATATCTATTAAAGAAAAAGGACAAGAGTTTTTTTATTTCTATAAATAATGAAAAAGAAATCGATTTACCAGATAGAATTGTATTAATAGTTTCTTCAAGTTTTTTTGGTAGTTCGCTTTTATGATGAAATTTTCCTTTATGTTCTTTGAAAAAAGCTAATTTTCGATTATCAGATTTTAATTGTTCATTAACTTCAGGATCAAGTTCAAGTCGAACATTACGTGGAAGAGTTTGAACAAACTATAAAAAGTTTATTTATTATAGTTTTGAAAGAGGAAAAACCGAAGAAATAACTCACACGACGTGAGAAATAATTAATTATTGGAAAATAATTTCGAGATAGCATTATCTAAAAGACATATTGTCTATTGCAAATTTTACTGTAAATAAAAGAAAAAAAAATTGAAGATCAACAAAAAAAAAAAGAGAGAATGTTAGAGAAAATATTAATTAAAGTCCAAGTGTTTTTCTAACACTTCGTTTTGCTGTATCATCAAATTTTTCACGATTCTCTCGAAACATTTTTGCAGCATCAACATTTGCTGGACTAGCTTCATTTGGTTCTAGAACAATAATAAATAAATCTATATATATAAAACATTCAATTCTATTTACCAGCTAGTAATGAAACAACAGATAGTAAAATTTTCTCTATACTTTGTACAGGACTCCATCGTTCGGCACTTGTTTCATAGCCCTATAATTAGTAAGAATAACT